AAGCCAGTCGCTAAACCGAACTCTGCGTCGCTTGTCGTGTATAATTTCCTGCTAGTGGAGCCGACGAAAGTTGTCACTGTGCGCGCGGCAGCGGACTGTCACAATACACAGCGGCATGTACGCGCGCTCATGAAAACGTGCAATGATTCCGGGCGTATGAGCACAACAATAAACCACTCAGACCCGCGGAAGCAGAAGGAAGCATCCACTTGGCGTATCCCTCTTCCTCCCCCTCTCGGCCGCATTACTCGTCCGCGCGCATACGAGACGATGTGGTGGCTTTACGGCTTAACTTCTTTCAGGTGAGAGCGAAAGAATGTACCGGAGAGAGAGAGAGAGAGAGAGAGGGAAGAGAGAGAGAGAGAGAGAGAGAGAGAACGAGGCAGGAGGAGAGAAAAAGAGAGACGCGAGAGCGACTTAAAAATAACGCCGAAAAATCCCGCCACCGAGATGCGTAATAATGGCATGCTCCAGCGCGGCGGAAAGAGGACTTAATATTCGCGCGATCCCCATAATTGTTGCTCGCTCATGCTGGCAAAGTCTCTCGGCACGATTTGCGGTTACGGCCTGTCACGTTGCCTCGTCCCGCCGCCGATTTGCCGGCGCGTTTTTCGCGCGACGTGTTGGTCAGCCGATGGGAAGGGGAAGAGAGAGAGAGAGAGAGAGAGAGAAAGAGGAAAAAAATTTCTCTCGCTAATAAAAGTATGATCGATAGACGCGCCTAGAATGCATCACGCTGCGCCGCGCAATCGTATTACGCGACGATACAGCCCTCGGTCACGTGTCGTTTTAGAGTGCAATTGTGTCGCGGTTATTATCCCGCTTCCATTTTCCGTCAATAAAACTATTGTATCGTGCTAATGCGTCCGTGTGTGCAACGATTGTTATGGGATCTTTGCGAGACCATGGCCGTGGACCCGAATGGTTTTCCCCGCTTTCCTTCTCGACCGATTCGTAGAAATTCGCGTACTCCGAGGCGGTAGTTTCGCGTGTAGTTTGCATTCGTTGCAATATTTCAGTGTTTACCTGCTGCAAGCGGCGATGTATTTACGATAATACGAAATGTCTGAGGCAATTCGCATTGCTCCGCTCATGCGCGGATAGAACTCATCAAGCTGAAAGCCCTTTAGCCACGACAAGTATTGAGGCATTAATCAAAGATATATTAATTAGCGATCGTATTAATTAATGAGGTATTAATTAGCGAATAATTGCGTACGATGCCGTGGGATGAGCGCTTCAGATGGCTGATGCAGGATGTCTGAATCTATTAAATCAGTCTATTAAATGATAACGGTTCCGTAAGAGTCAAACGCTTTCGTTGTTTAATAGATTATCGGATTTTACATGATTAAACTTAACTTATAATTTATTTTGCTCTATTTAGAATCTCTTGGCAACCGCTGGCAGTGGTTTGTAATGCCGGACATTATTATGCACATTGATGCACGCCTCCGTTCTTCAGCATTACGCAGATTCAAATTTTGGATAAGACTTTAGCTCGCATTTACTCACATCACTCACTCGCTAAAATTTTCCACGATTAGTATTTCAAATGTTACCATCATTTGCAAAGTGATACAAGAGTTTTACATTCAGTTTAACGAATTCCACACGCGCACGATCGAACGTGCACGTCGCATCATATACACTCCATATATCCGGGAGTATACTATTAGTAAATAAGATATTAGTAAATAAATATTTTTTTACATATATAGAGTGTCCCGAAAACATTTGATCAAATGTGAACACTATCCTAAAGATGGAAACATACAGAACAAGTGTAATAAACGTGGTTCCAGAAGGCAACCAATAAGTTATATCAATTTTAAATCACTTAAAATGATTTTCCCCTCGTTCGCCAGATATCATTCCCACTGATTTTTATCATTATATTTTTTTTTCGAGGTCATCTTGAAACTTCAGTCTGGGACCTACCCAAAATTGAAGAACTTCGGGAACGCATTGTAAATTCAGTCGCTATCGAAACTCTCCTATTATTTTCAACCAAGTTGTCGCGTCCCTAGGAATCCCTGAGGAGACGTGTCGAGGCATGTATTGCTGCTGGAGGTAGTTACTTTCAACAGTTCTTGCAACTCTATGTGAGTTTGATACTAATTTATGTGCAATTACGTCAGATTATGTGTCCCCAAGTTTAAATTAGTGTAACTCGTTAATAGTTGGTCTTCGAACTCACGCTTGCTAAACCTTTTTTGTTTGTCCTCATTTCTAGAATATTAACGTTAACATTTGGCCGAATGTTGCTTCTGGGACACTTAGTAAAATCGGCTAGAGGCGACAATTTAGGTCGGGGTGAACTCGACGCAGGACCGCAAATGGTATAATTAAAGTATAATTTCACACACGCGCATGCAATGGATTTCTAAAGTAATGCACATTGCATTCTTGTGTTGCGAACATTTATTATACGCCGGCACAAGGCAGATTTTCCGTCGCGTTAAGCATTTCGGCGACGGGCGGACGTGTTTTCGTTGTTGGAGTATCCACTTCAGCTCGAGCGGTGTGCGCGAAAGATAAACGCCGGGGAATTATAGCACGACTGCCGGCTACGGCGGAGGAAATATACGCGGGAACAAAAGAAGAGGGTGGCGACGAGCTCTTTGAGCTGCAGTGTGGGCGAGCACAACGGCGGACAACATGTGTGATGCCGATATAAATTACTCTACAGTTTAATGGCACATTCCAGGCTGGATCCGCGAGTAGCAATAATGTCAGCGAGTGTTATCTCGTGCCGGTGTCGCACAAGACCGGTCCGTGGAAATTAGTTATCACTGTGTAAGCATTGAATACATAACGTGACTTGCATACATTATGTCGCGTAATGCACGCGGGACTTTCCGCGCTCGCGCTCCGGGTTTCCTCCGGTCAACTGCTTTCAACACTATGATATTACTAACATGCGCACTAGCACACACCCATGATGGATGATCGCGCCATCTGTCTTGATGCGGTTATTAAATAATTTAAATACCGTCTCCGACGAATACCAACGAGATGTATGGAGGAATATTTCGGAATACTCAAAGATATTTCTTTGGGAAGGGTCTCTCTCACGGGCGACAAATCATCCCCCCGAAGACGGAATTTAATTTGTCGTGTAAAAACCATGTTTCAACCATGCTTCCGAGAGAGAGAGAGAGAGAGAGAGAGAGAGAGAGAGAGAGGCTGCACTTTATTACGAAGGAATTGTTGAGAGAAAGAATATCTCGCTTCCCTCTTCGTCATCGTTCTCTGAGATACGTGGAGAATGCGCTCGGCGGCACTTAAATTAAATACCCGCGATATAAAGTAACATGTCAACGAGTCGTGTCGCGGCAACACGCTCGATACGCGCACTGCGACCACTTAAGTAAACGAGAGGCAAACAGGCGAAATCCGCGGCAGCGCCGCCATTCTAAAGACAAAGGGTGGCACGCGAGACGCGGGAGCGAAGAGACAGGGACGAAGACGGATCGCGTCGATCCTCGTCGCTTTGTACATTCTACGCGCCGCGATGTTTCGCAAGTTCCTCTCCCATCTCCGCCCTCGAACCCTTCCGCGTAATGTGTAACGCCCTCTGGAAATTTCGCGAAGGTATTTAACGCGTCGCCTCCGTAGCCAGCAAGCGACGCAAACGGTGATAAGAAGGTGTGTTCGTCGTGCCCTCGCCCCCCTTCCTTCCCTGCTCCTCGGGTCGCAGGAGGAGCATCGGCGAATGCATGTGAATTTCGAGGCGGTATTGTCGAAGGAAGCCGGAGAAAAGCTCCAGCTGAAACGAAATGATAATTAGCGCGCTACGCTACTCTCCCTCTCCCTGCCCCACCCACCTCGCGCTTCTCGCTCTGTCGTTCGATGCGAAGAAAGCATCCTGTAACGAATGCAATCGCGTCGCGAATTACGGAGCGCCTGTCATTACTCGGCGGGACTGCGTCGGCGTAACATCAAAATCGTCGTGCACGCGTGTTTACGAACGTCGTCTCGATTTGTCGTAATTTGGTGTCTATGTATGGCGTCAGAGTAAAATTCAACGTTCGCTGCGAAAGAGACTGTAAATGCCGAAAGTAAAAGAATGCGGAGAAAAAAATTCGCGTTTCTAATAAACGTTTATCCAGTCGAGAGAAGAGAGAAGCATACCCGAGAGGAAAATGATTATACATAATTACACGAAGAGAGAGGAAGAAAGAGAGAGAGAGAGAGAGAGAGAGAGAGAGAGAGAGAGAGAAAGAGAGAGAGAGAGAGAGAGAGAGAAAGATGTTGGCTCGAATGGAAGAATTTTCTAGTGAAATACGAACGAGGAATTCCGATTAGAAAGACCAGAATTTGTTAACCGGAAATCTTGATCATTTAAAGAGACTGAATTCTTATAACTTCAACTAGAATTTTTATATCGCGCATATTTTACTAGAAAATTTGTTCATTCCAAACTTTTTTTCCGTGCATATGTGAAGTTTGTGTTTCTATATGACTATGTAATCGTATGTAACTATATGTATAAACTAAAATAAATGCAACTAAAATAAATGTTATTTTTATAGTAACTTATAGGATTCTTTTAATTTAATTTGGTGCATATGCGGGATGATTAAGCTAAATACTCTGCATATATAGCCATATAGAAACAAAACTCATAAACAATTACATAAAATTATATCTATACATATAAATGTTTATGAAATTATATTACTTTTGATACAATTTTATAATATATATATATATATATATCTTTGTAAATATTTATATATAATCATTATATATAATTATATATAATCATAATTATATATAATCATAATTTATATATAATGACATGTTTCATATAAATAATTTTTCCTTGGGTATTACTTTAAGATACAGATAAGGTACGATTTAAATTAAAAACTAAAGAGATTCGAAATTTTTTTTCCAATATTTGCCTTTCAACTTTCGGTCATTATGATTATAGAGTTGTAACAAGCGACGAACGAGAATATCGAAAGTACGTTCAATTTCTTTCTTTGCAGAAAAAATCGCGGTTGATCGATTCGCACATCGTCATAATCCTTGTGGTTTTCTCCCTAATTATGTTTGGCATGAGCTTTGCCTTCGTGTTCAACTGCGTGCGGAAGCTCGTCCGTGATCACCGTATTATCCAGGTGAGTGAATTTTATTTTCCCGACGACTCGTTTCGTCTTTGCTGTCGGCTTTAGTAAACGAAAAAAGTCAAGAAACTCTGATCTCTGCGGTGATACGTCAGCGGTTTCATGTTATATTTTGGCGGATATTCCACGTGAGGAGTTTGCTATTTTGCTATTTTATACCATCCGTAAATACTCACCGCTATATTGCATAGAATGTTTTCGTTACGGGCAGAACTTGGCCGAGAGTTTTATTAAAACTAATCGTGCACTCTTCGGCGCTCGCGGCGAGCAACGAGAGCTTTTTCTTTTTACAGTTGTACGATATTTTAGCGGGCCGTGAAATTTATAGGCCCTCGCTGACGTGACATTGCTTCGATGATCCTCGACGTCTTTATCGGTCGCCGTTAAAGTTCGAGAAACGACGAAGATGTATTTATCCCGACGTGTTCGCGCGAGTAAGCACGAAAACGCCATCGGTTTTTCCGACGATGCGTTTTCACGCTTAGGGCTGGTCGCTCTCCGTCGTTTCTTCCGAAACTTCCCCCGATAACGGAAACGGCACGGGCGTGCCTTATCTCATAATAAAGCCTAAAGACTAAATACCGTTGCTCGTCAAATGATGCGGTGACAAAGTGCGCTAATGTTTCAGTCGTGTTTAACGGTAATCGCATTTTCTCAATTAATATTTACGCTGGTATAAACTCCGAGCCACGCATCCGTGAACATACGTGTAAATTTTCTCCGGTTATTACAACGTAACGTACAACACATCCATTCGTTACGTGTCACGTTTGTGCCGTTTGTGCCGTATGAAATATTGTATGCCGTGTCGTTATTAAGTTTTCGCCCGTGCGTGCACACACGGGCGAGCTAATTGTTATTGATACATTATTATGCGTAATTTCTAGTCACAAATTGGCTATATTTAATTATGGGCTCGGCTTTATTTTGCGGGTTAATTTAGCTTCAACAACAATCACGCGCGGATGAAACGGTGCGTTGCAAAGTGATTCGCGGTGCGTTTAACGCAGAAATTATTTATCGTGCCGTTAAAATAAACGTGTTACCGAATATGCGCGATACAACGGTGACGCGTAACGATTCCGCAAAATCGTGTCACGTTTGATCATCGATGCCGACGCTAGTTCATCTATATTTCTCCGAGAAAAGAGGAAAAAAAATATTCGACTGCGATTCACAACAGCGAGGAATAATTCTCCGTACAGTATGGCGAGCAATTTCGTGCTTTGCGAGTTGCGAGAGAGGGATACGCAGGGAATGGAACAAAAATAGCCGTACGAGTGCGGGACGGCTTGTTTAAGACCAACAGAGTTACAGTTTATTCGTGCCTGCTTTTTATCGGCTCTACTGCGCAAACAATCTCGTATTTATGCAACACGATTGCGCGGTGTAAGCTGCACGCAAGTTCCTCTCCCTTTAAACTTGCAAGCGAATCGAATCCCCGTAAATAACTCGCCGCCGGTGAGTGCGATCAAACGGCAGCGCATCATGCACGCTGCTGTACAGCTGGCTGGATTCACACAGCTCTATTATTACTATGCGTCCCAGCCCCTTCTGCCCTTCTTCTTGCAGGAGCACATCAGACAATCCCGGGAGAACCGTCTGGACGAGCTAGGACGGAAACCGACGCCATGTCCGATCTCGACTTCCCGCACGGACTTGCACGACCGCGGCAGCGAGTCGCCGAGCTTGGAAGTGCTGCCCAGCAAAGAGCTCATGCCGCCGACCACAATGATACCTCAGGAATACACCAAGGACCTGGTCCTCGAGATGACGTACAATGCGAACGACATCACCGACATTCACCAGAGCAACAACGTGAGCAACGCTACGCAGGAGCGCCTGCAGGAGTCCAGCGAGGAGCCGGAGATGCGCGACAACTGCTGCCAAACCAGGGAGAGCCTCTTCGAGCCGCGGATGCCGGACGCGGTAGCGCCATTGGGCTTCACGACCTTCGGCGTGCGTGCGCCCAGCTCTCAGAACGGGACCAATCATCACCATTACCACCATCACCATCATCATCACCAGCAGCAGCAGCAGCAGCAGCAGCAGCAGCAGCAACAAAGCCTGCAACGGTCTCACCAGAGCGCTCAGCTGTCGCAGACGAGCTCCCAGCAGAGCTCGCAGCAGCAGACCTCTCAGTGCTCCGGCTGCAGTCCGGCATCCCGTGGACGGGACGGCAGCATGGGCATCTGCCCGAAGCACAACCCGATACCAGCGCCGCCAGGCTGGTCAACACACGAGTCCAGCTATCCACTGCCCATACCGCAGCCCGGCCAGTACCCGGAACAACTGGATTACCCGTCGTACCAAAGGTTCCAAAGCCCCAAGCCCAGCAGGGAGCCTAGTGTCTATCAACAGTCGCCGAAGCTCACGCGACAGACCACCGTGGGCTCCGGCGAGAGGTACGGCAGTTCCATGTACGGCTCCGGCCATGGTTCCAGCAACACCACCACGTCCAGCTCGCAGCACTCCGCCGGCACGCCGAAACGTCAGCCGCAGGCCGCGGCGGACCCGCGATATCGAGCGGAGGCGGTGATCGAGGTGGACCAAAGGCGGCCGTTCAGCATAGAGAGCACGAAGAGCGCCCCGGACGTGATCGCGACGCACTGACGTCGGAGTCCTGGGGATTGGGAGCCCTACAAGAGACGCCATCCCCGTCAAAACGCGGACGATCGTCATCAGCTGACGACGGCGGCTCGCGGCAACAATGGGAACAAAGTGACCGTCGCCACCCAGAGCTCCCTCGATGACGACGCCTCGACGAGCTCCACCGTGGAAGCGAACTCCTCCTCCTGATCCACGTGTCGCGACGCGACCGATCGCGGAAGATCGTGCGAGGGACAGTCCGTGGCCGATGAGCCCGGCGATCGCGAATCCTCAAGAAACACCGAGAAACCGCGAAACACTGGGTTTCTCGAGACCGCAGAGCGCACGGCGACTCAGGTTCACTTGGAGAGAAACGTTCGAGTGTCCACTTCCGAGTCAGTCAGGCAGCTGGCAGGATCGACAACAGCTGACGCAGCTTGCTCGAATCCGACCAATGTCGACGCGGAGACCCGCTTGGACGGCGCTCCTGCTGCTGCTCAAACGACAGGTCGAGCCGGCTGGACGACGGCTGTTGACGAGTCCTTGGTCTCGAGACCGTGGCGAGTCGAGGCGGCCTTAAAGCTGCACGACTTGCCGATTCTGCGACCGCCGCAGGGCTTCCGGGTGCCCGTGTTCAGGTGCAGAACACCGTCCTTGTCCTGGCAGCACTGCGGCTGTCCTTCGCACGCTCATCTACCGCCGCGGCGATCGTCGATCACCTGGAGTGCCTTCGAGCGATGCGGCGTGGAGCCCGCGTATCGGACATGGCCTAATCGAACCGCGAGAAGATTCGGCCGGCCGGCGAGGAGGACCGTCGGCACACAGAGCTCGTTGGACGGCGCTAAGTCGTCTCTCGGCTTCCTCCGCTGCGTCGTCAGATCGATCGACATGACGGAGAGATCGTTGGACCAGGAGATTGGGGCATCTATACCTTTCTAGTGTTTGCTTTACCGTGCGCCACCGGATGGCACGTTGGCGCTTCGGCGTACACGCTTCGGCTCGGCGCGCGCGCCGCTCGCTGTCCTTTCGTCCTCGGGGAAGTACGCGAGCTTTCTCTCGAGCGCGACGTCGTCTCGTCGTCCGAACGACGGAAGATGTGAAATCAATCATGTATATAGCCATGTCTGCAGTACGTTACTAGTGTGATCCTGGTAGACGATATTGCTCCGCGGTTTTCTCTTGGCCTCTCCTTGCGAAGGAAGCCAAAGCAAGGGAATATCTCGCGACGTCGCCCGTCGGCCGACTCAGGTAAGTGCGCGCGACATCACCGCTGGCGATATCACGCGAACGGATTTGCGGCGAGGAAGCAATCGGGAACCGTCCGCCCGCCCGCTCACTCGCGAGAACCATGTATTCTGTCACGTGAGCATCTTACACACACACACACACACGCACACACACACACACGCACACACGACATCGCTGCCTTGCGCGTTACTGCGCGACGAACGAGTCGAGTAAAGCGAGACACGGCGGGAAAAAGAGGAGCGACGAATCGTAGCTTAGTCTTCTTCGAGCTAGTACTTAAGCGCGATTAAATCGAGTCGCTAAAACTGTCGCGGTATGCGGAGCAGGAGGAGCGGAAGAGAGAGAAAAAGAGAGAGAGAGAGAGAGAGAGAGGGGAGGGGGGAGAGGAGAAAAACGCGCTGTCGATTCCAGAAGCAGACGAAAGAATACTTTCGCTCTCGAACTCGCACCCCTGAATTATCAGGTGTACACTTCGTATACTTGTCCCCGTTAATATTTTATTTCAACACGTTGAGTGGCCACGGTATGGCGCGCCATTACAAATATCGGACGCATCTCTCCTTGATCCACATAGTAAGTAAAATGGCATCTCGAGAAATTCCGGACGTACGTCCATCGGAGAGCGAGTGAAATCGACTGAGGAATTAACGCGCGTGGAAAATTGCATCCGCTCATCCCGCTCGTCTCCGCTTCTTCGGGCATTGAGTTAAGCCTCCGAACGGGAAATCATCGGGAAATCAGCGCGCGCGCGCGCGCGCGCGGCAGTCAACGTGTTAATCTTTTCCCCGCGCGCGATTTCTCTTTCAGCCGTGTAACGAGACGTGTTTAATATTCATGCGAGCATTACGACGTGAAGTAATATTACGCCGGTGGGATTAGTGCCGTGACGCGCGTCGTGATGGAAGAAGAAAAAAGAAGAAAGGAAGAGCGAGCTCAGAATTTGAAAATTAAAGCAACACGTGCCGGACATTCTACTGCGTCGCTCCGAAATTTCATTAAATCTCCTCTGAACAGAGAGCCGGGATCGTTACTTCTCGCTTCTTTTGTTTCTCTTCTTTCTTATAGCGATAGGACGTGATTCGCCCGCTGGCGTAATCTCGCCGCGTCGTCGTCGTGCTCGCTTTTGAAGCGCTTTAAACAATCCCCTCGAACTCGCATCAAGAGACGGCGCAACGCGCGACTGCGGTGCGCGCCTCATCGATGCGCCGCTGATGGCAAACTGGTCGATGATTTCTGCGGAATCTCGCGGGCTTAATGGGACGTAACATATCGGGAACGAAACTTTATTCGTTCAACAGCACCGCCGGGAGCAGAGGATACCGGCCACCAGGCACTATTAATCAACCGTCAACCGAAGGGGAGAAACTTCCACGATGGTCCGCGGTCTTTCTCACTTAGCCGCGGGGAAAAACGCGAGTAAAGTGGCCCGCGAGGTTTCTTCGGACGAGAGACGTCGGAATCGACTAATTATTACGATCAATTGGTCATTGGCTGCTTGGCGCGCTTCTCTCCTCGCCGACGGATCGTCGGCGTCGGTGCAAGCTCGTGGAAGAAAATTCCAGATAACCGCTCGACCAGGTCCAAGTCGAAGTCGTCGGATTCATAGAGCGTCGGGTTTCTTCGAGCGGGTGTTTCTTCGATCAGCATATATTCCTGTCACGTAACGCGACTACATGTTCCGCGTGGCGGCGATAGTTCTTCCTCGGCAGTGTGCCAGGAAAAGAGCGTTTAATAATTCTCCCTATAAGCGGTCGGTGATAGAGAAGAAGCCCGAGCCAAGACGTTGGGCTTCAGTAGCGCAACGTTCCGCGAAGCTGTCAATTTCACACGCGCAGTGCGTGCATCCAGTCGCGACTCGAGTTTTATCGCGGCCAAACGAAAGTGCGAATACGAGCCTTATAATGTTCGGTATCGTTCGACGATACCTCTCGCGGTACACGAGACGCGGCATCGATCGATCGTACCTCCGAGAACAGCGGGAGGGAGGAGGAGGAGAAGGTTGCGGTGGTGGCGGTGGTCGCGAGAAGGTGCACAAATCCCTACGATGTTGAGCAAACTATTTTTCCACGTGATGATTTTTGCGGAAAAAAAAACGTGCGAGTCTGCGCGCGCTCGGTCCGACAATTCAAGGAATGCATTTATAGTTAGTAGTAACGCACACACAACATACACGCACGCCCGACCGTGCTGAATCTGCATTTCCGATCGACTGGCACGCAGCTGTTCACGGTCCTGCCGCCGCGATATTTACTCCCACCGACGGAGGCATAAATATCCCAGCGGGAGTTGCATTATTACAATTACACAAACACGCGCACGCGGCGCGTTTATTCTACTGCAGCCTGGAGGCGCGCTGAATATCGTTGTGATCTCGCTGAACTCGTATTCAGATACGCGCGCGCGCGCGCGTGGGATAAATAATTCCTGCGTTTAACCGCGAACGAACAAAACGCGAGATTTGACGAAATTCCTCCTTCACGCGCGAACTTCGCTCGTTTGCACATTTCGATTGGAATACATTTTTCCGCTGATGGTAAAGGCCCCAGGGCTTGCGATCGGTTATGTCAGCCCAAGTGACGGTACACGGTGTCAATTTAATGAGCGGGGCACGTTGATACATCCCAGAATGTCGAAACAGCTTGCAATGGCGGCGCTGGGAAAATTGAAAAATGTTCCGCTTCAAGTACGCGCGAGACATCCGACGTTACAAGTGGCTTGCAATCGTGACCGCTTGACGCGCTCCTAACTTCACGGAGAGAGAGAAAAATGTGTTCAGTCGTTTGCATAAAGTTCTTGCAGCACTTTTCCCTTCACAGCTTTACGGACACGTGAGGTTAACGAGGCCACCTCTGTGCGCAAGATTGCGCATTGAATGATTTCGAGGAATGTCTCATTTTTACACACGACGTGTACAAGAGTAATTTGCAAGCGAGAGTATCGAGGAAAGTGTAAAAAAACGTCGCAAACCCGCAATGCAAACGACTGTTCGAGCGGCTGTGCGAACGAGCGTACGCTTGAATTTAATTTGCCGAGATGGTGCCGCTTTCAATCGCGCTGCTCACCGCACTCGAATGCCGCGGGGAGAGACGCTCGAAATCAAAACCGTGGTATGATAACATGATATAATGACCGTGCGAGCGTGACATATAATGCGCGACAACGTACGACGTTTTCGCCGTGTCGTCCTTTATTCGCGAATCCCTTATTCGCAGACCACCAGGTCGGATTAGGTCAATTAGGCAATCCGGCTGAACTATCTGTTATCCTTCCACGTGACTAATTCCTCTTGAAACATTAACAAACAACGTTACGCGCCGCCCCTCGTCCAGTAATTGGTAATTGCACGAGCGAGCGGGACGGCGAGTCGAATTCTGCTAGCCATGAGTCGTTTTTCGTTTACTTAACGTTGACCGTGACGATTAATCACTTCGGGACACCTTTTGGATCCGCCCGCGAATCTCCCGGCTGGACTTAACATTCGATGTTTCCCCGTGTTCCCTTCTAGTTCCTTGGACCTCGAGACGTCAAACGTCACGGTACCAGTTCCGTGTGTTGTTGCGATTATAACGTTCCCTATTTTACGCTGCCTTTATTCGCTCATTCGTCGGATGTGTCTGTTATATTATCTATTTATTTATAGAACGACCTCCTTGTTTAACCTGTAACGCGCTCCAGTTGTAGCGTTAACAATGGGTTAAAAATACTCGGATCGCTCTTTACTTCTAGATCCCAAAAATGTGTAAGTACTCCCTCGCTGCTTCAGCATGAAGTTTCCCACGAATAACGTCCTCCACTGACGAGAGTTCATGTTTCTTGGTTTAGAGCAAAGTATATGTTATCGTTATCATCAGTGTCATCGGTGTTATTAGGAGTTATCGGGAGAAATGTAGGAACGATTGTACATACTTCATCGGAATGTGTGCGTCACGAGACGGGTTCTTGTACGTGCGAACCGAATCGCTTCCGAACTATCG